AAAATGCAAAAGAAGAATCCTTTATCTTTTCTAAACTGTTCAACCTGTGCTTTCTCTTTGCCAAATAATTCAAGAAACCAGAGAGATCATGTTGGCTAATGAAAATGGTATCAGATTTTTCTACATTGGTCAACCTCTCTCGAACAGCTGTGTAAAAGATAAGATACGGAAAATACTATTGGGGCTCAACTGGTAAAGAATCTGCCTGCATTGCAGGAGACCTGGGTTTGATCCCTGGGTTGGGAAGATCCACTGGAGAAGAGAAAGACTACCCACACCAGTATTTTGGCCTGGAGAATTCCATGGGCTGTCTAGTCCATGGGGTCACAAAGAGTCAGACATGACTGAACAACTTTCACTTTCACTATTCCAAGACTATGAGAATGTGATGCTAACTTTTCCTGGGAAAAAGCAGGAACACATTATTCAACACATTATTGACTGTCCACTTTGTGTCAGGGATTATCCTGTTGTGGGTACTATAGATAAAAATGTAAACATCAAATCATGGTCTTCATGGGGTTTACTTTCTAGAAAAGAAGACAGGCATAAAACAAGTAACTCAATAAATATTTAAAATAATATCAGCTCACGATTTCTATAGGTGCTTTATATGGCCAGTTAAATTCAAATGCTTTAAATCTCAGCAAAAAATGAGGGAAATAAGGCTTACTTATCTCTAGAGCAATATTGAGTTTAATAAAATAAAGCTTTTAATAGGACATCTTTAATACAGCAACTGCTTATTAGGAGCCCATGCACAGATTTCATATTTTAGGTTCAGTTATAAATTCTACTTCATCACCATAGCACTTTCCAGCACTTCATACTCAGTCTGAACTGAAACGATCATTGCTGACTATTCCGAGCACATTTAGTTGTCACCCAGCCCGTAGAGAAAGCAACTGACAATCTTTTTGAGGCTTCATCTATCACTATTATTAGGTGATTAACAAGAGTCTACTTTTTTCTTTATTATCTTATGATTATAAATATGAACAAAGAAAATATAGTCATAACTGAAATCCTAATACAACGGATCTCAGTGTTTCACTTTTGTTCCCCCTAAAAAACACTCGGTGAATGATATTCACAAGTGGGACACCATTACACAGACCTTTAAGGATTTATGTGATCCCTGGGATGTTAGTATACCTCCACTTTCTCCTTATTCACTCAAGAATGCAGATGGGAATATCAGTGAGTGAGGATGGAATTCTTACAGGAATAACTTTAATTCCTCCATCTGAATTTATTTTTAAGTAAATCCATTGATGACAATTATTAATCACAAATTACTTGTGAACCAGTTCCCAAAGAATCACAAATGTGCATGCCACAACAGTGCACTTAAAACCACTGACCCAGCTAGATTGAATTCTTCTAAAGTTATTCATACATAATCATATGTGATCTGAATTTTTAGAAATTCATTATGTAGCTAAATACCAATACCCAAAGTCAACCGGTGCCATAATTTAAGCACTTAATTTGCCTTATTACTCTCATTTTCTCCTACTTGGCTTCCTTTCTCTCTTCTGTATGAAAGATTTGACTGTGGAAGAGGGCAGGGTAGCTGCTTAGCTCCCCTGACAGCAGGTACTTCCCTTTCCGGCAGTCGCCGTGTCTTTCAGCCCACCACTGACAAGATGTTGATATGTGGAAGCAGTACCTCAGGTCGACTGTTCCTGCAGCCAGGCTGTTAGTAGTCAGTCCCATGGAAAGCTTAGAGGTCCCTGCCAGGTCCTCTGGTCCACAGATGTCTCAGGAGCCCGCCCTTTTAGTTTGTTGCGGTGGGATTTGCAAATGATCAGCCAGTGCACCAGAGTTGTAACCGACCTTAAGGTGGACTTCCACGAAAGGTAGGAAACCCGTTGGCTTCAGAAAAAAAAAATTTTTAAAGTTTGATACACTCAAAAATATTTAGAAAGAATTCCTTCCATTATGATTCAGGTGGGAACATTTTGTTCTTTCTGTGAATGAATACTTTGTTTATTTTGGGGTGAATGTGGTTTTACATACCCTAAGTTTAACTAGAAATCCTTCTGCAAACTGAAAGCACACTTTCCTTCTCATTAAATTTCATTTTTACCAAAAGAAAGATCTAAGTATAACTGGAACAGGATCCAAGCAGAGCACGAAACCAGAACTACAGGATTGCCTTGTAAACAGTACAACAGGAGAACACTTGGGAAGGTCTGTCTCTCCATTCTGACTTGATACGTAATTGCTGTGTGAAGTCGAATCTATACATCAGGTTGGTTGCTTAAACGCAAATAGCATGACTGTGTAGCCTTGGAGGAGTTCTTTTAATTATTGAGAGATGGGAGCGTTCAATAGAAAATGAAATCATGAGATATGATTTCTGTAACGTGACTGCTCTTTGATAGGCAGCTTTGTTGAAGCTTTATTTTTCCACATTTTAATGAATATGTGAAAACTTTCTAGAACTGGACGTCTTCAGAAAAGTCTTGACCTGAAGGCCAGTTTTAAAAATTCAACAAGGGCAGGGACAGTATAAGAAAAGAAAAAAAGAGAAATAAAGGAAGAGAAGAGAAAATAAGACAGAATGCAGGGAAGCAAAAACTGAACAAGAAAAGAAGCAGGGGAGGAAGGGAGAAAGAGTAGAGAGAATTGGAGAAAATATAGAAGTTAGGGAAATTGACTTCAGTTGCTTAAATGCAGTGAAGTTTCAGAGTGGATCAGCAAAATGTCAGAAAGCTCAGGTGTTTGTGAAATTGTGATACCTTCGGAAAATTCACACTGTTAAATGAGCCTCAAATTCTCACTTCTACCTGCATGATAAAGAAATACACTTTTGGTCTGCCAGACTACAATCAAAAAGATGCCATAATAAGGGCATGGCATGGAAGTCTTATAAGAGCCTCTGTCTTGTATGTCTCTTCTATTGAATCATAGAATTTGGACTTTTACATTTATCTGCTATTAATAGGGCAGATTGGTTGTATGTTTTGATTGAATAATTTTAAGAACATGCCACTATTTATGAGGAAATTATTTTTAAAACACTATAGAGATTCAGTGTTTATTTTTTCTTAGAGAAGTTTCAAGGTTAAATATTCAAATCCTGTTCATGATCCTAGGGATTGGAAGTCGGCAGAAGGCTGAGATAATGATGCAGAACCAGAAAAAGGGAACCCATTTACATGAAGGCTATGATACAGGTCTTAGGACAGCCTAGGAGGCTGCAGAAGAAGACATAAAATTAAAGAAGATATTTGATATCCTTTTACCATGCAGACATAAAACGACAGACTTAACAGCCATGTTTCAGATTAACTGTATTACGGGGGCATTTGCTTCATGAAACTACTATTTACAAAAAGACACGCCATATCTGAATGTCTGGAAGAGAAAATCATCCTATTAATTAGAAACTTACTTTATACTGAAAATCTTTGGTTCCACTTTAAATGTTTTTGTTAATGGAGAAAACATTAGAGAAAACTTTTCCATCTCATATTAGTTTGTACTCACCACATGGTTAGAAATTAAGATTTCTAAGATCTTTGCCTAACACATATACTTTTTCTTTTCCCACAAGTATAAATTATTTATTCTTTTGGATCTGCATTCGTCAGTCTTGAAATGGAGAAAATATAGAAATTGTAAGTATTATGGATTTGCTTGTCTGCATTCTATTATAAAGCAATCCTTGCCCACATTGAAAGATGTATTTAAAGAGAATTTAAATATAAACAGATTCATATGCATGTGCATACAGAAAGGAAGAAAGGAAAAAGGAGGAAATGTTATGAGATTTCCTTTCTAATTTTTTTTCCACAAAGCACCCCTTCTTACATGACTAGCGTTTGGAGTGTTCTTTCTTAAATGGATATTTGTTGTCTCTTATCAGTGTAGTACACTAAGGGCAAATGATGCTGCCTTTATAATATTTGTGAATTTTTTCCCTAGGGTTTGTTCCTGCTTAACTATGAAGTTTCTTTAGTGGCAATCTGTTGGTTGCTCACACTGTCCAAAAGTAGTTAAGTCCAGATGTTGGAAGGAAGCAGAAATTTAGGATCAAGGTGGATGCTGTTAGACCAGGGGCCCCCCGACCAGGCTTCAGGGTTGGGAAGGAGGGCAAAAAGGAAGGGGTGCTTTCCTTCTTTTGATCTGGTGTGTTCATACGTTTCTACACAGTGTATTCACTTCTAACATTTCAAGGCATGTGTAAATCCTCTGAGGGCTAAGTAATATGATTACTCTTTTGTGACACATTATTGTTATTCACCTATGCAAGTTTTGACAAAAATCCCCCATTACTCCTTCATTAATTAATGGCAAACTGAGGGTTAGTTCTGCATCAGCACTTCAATTTCTTCATTAAAAAAATGGTCCCCTTTCTCTTTAGTTTGTGAGCACCCAGGCCAATATCAAGCCGTGTCTTATTATACAAAGTCATCTGGCTTGGGCTGCTTACTCTGAATACCATTTCGGTCTGTGCAGCTCAGACTACAGGCATTGTTTCCTTGTGTCGCTGTAAATGGCAGAACAAGGTAACTGAATATGTCAATCTCCTGGTTCTACCTCTTTGCCAAATCTGCTCTGAGACTTAGCCAAACACCCTCACCAGCTTGTAGAATACGCGCCCTTGCTAAGCAAAGTCCTACTGTCCCTTTCAGTCTTACTCTTTTAAACCAATACACAAATCACAGCTGGCTGGACGACGTGGTAAGCATTTCACTTTGCATGTCAAAGATCGCTGAGTTCTGTGAAGGGCATCAGGACCCTGGCATTCCAAGAACTTCCCTGTGGAGGATTACAAAAGTCTGGCTACAGTCAGCGCTGTGTCCTAATCCTGAGCATAAGCATCACATCTCGGGAGCAGGTGCTGGGACCAAAGACCGAAACTGGCTATAAACTCTATCAGGCTTTTTCATGAGATATTAATAATTTTAGGCAGGATGGAGGAAAATGTTGAGATTCACTGAACTGACAAATGTCAAAGAAGTGGGGAAAGTAACTGAGTGGTTTACCCGTGGATCTGTCTTCAATGGAGTTATAGATCAGATGGTGACATGATCGTTTTTAGCACAGCCCTTGTCCTCTGCTCAGATGCACCAAATGAAGTGCCCATTTGCTGACTAGAAATTCACAGTTGAGGTCCACCGATGATGCAGTGCAAAGAAGCCTGTTCTGTTCCTCTGCTCAAGAGTAAGCCAAGCCAACCTTCACCTTTAAATAGCTCCACATTTAATTCTGCTGTATTTAGAAATCAATTTCAGTCATAGTTCACTAATAACTTCTTCTCACCTAAGAGAGAGAGAGAAGAAAAAATTTAGCAAACAGTAACTCTACACCAAAAAAAACGATGACAACTCAGTACCAGGTTGCAGTATAAAAGACAGCTTTTACTTAAGGGAAAATCATAATAAACTTGTTATAACAAAAATACACTAAAAATTTTTAAAGGTGAAACTATTTTTCTATTTGATATAAAACCTAAAGAAGTAACGGATTAACTTAGGCAAACAGAGGAAAAAAAAAACTGAATCCAAGGAAGGTACAGTAGCTACTTTCTTGAAAACAAAACAATCTTTTCGTTCCTGCCATTTGTCTGAATTCTTCCTTCGGGCAAGCTGGACAGCTGCACTAGTGGTTTTTTAGTCATGGGTTGTAAGCCCCACCTGGCTAGATTTGTTTAGCAGACAGCTGGCAGAATTAAATAAAAAGAATGGGACGCAAAATGCTTCCCCCAAAAAAGCTGAGAGAATACTTTCTGGATGTTTTAGCCTTTTAGAGGTTTATGCTTCTCTATTTTTTTTTCTTGCTATATTTTTTTCTTGCTGTATCCACATACTATTTACTATATGTGAATATATCTTGTAGATATTTTCTCTCAATTATAACACCATGGCTGAGGTATAAATGCAGCATAAATGTAAACATCAAGCAAGCAGGTCTTGAATGACTTTTTTTAAATTAGGAATACCGATTTGCTGTTTATAGGTCCCCAAGCATGACATCAGTTTTAAATTAGTATTTTTTTGTTTGTACATTTTCTTTGTTACTTTTTAAAGCCCATAAAATAGATTTTCTTCATCTGGAATGTTCTCTCTAGCTTAAAGATAAGAAGGAGTCTAAATTGTGGGAATGGCATCTTTCTGCATCTGTTTCTCTCACAAACCTATCAAATATCTAGTTTTTGGCATGACTGCTGGCTCTGACAGGGGGATGACATAAACCAGCTTTGTGGTTACATGTTTCACTTTTAATCTCATGGAAATAAAAATCAGCACTGAAATGTCCCTTTCCATGTGACAATTTGGGACTCTTTTCCAAAAGCCCAGGCAGAGGGGCGTTAACCTGGTGAAGCTTAACACACAGCACATGCAGAAGTATCAGGCATTTTCATGCTCTAAGACATGAGGCAACTCTGCCTCTAGTAGAGCTTTGTTCCCATCAGAAGCATGAACCACCAACAGTGGGAACCGAAGACTCAGTGGCAGCAAGGCACCAAAGGATGACCGAAAATGCACCCCTGGGAAATGAAGAAAGAACTGGGAAACGAAGTAGCTCACTTAATAACCGCACATCTTTCTGTGTGTTTTGTCTCTTTCCCATAAATGCAGCAGGACTGGTGGAATATTTCAACCATCATGGGTTTGCTACTTAGCACGAGGAGAATCCAGCTTTTCACTAAACACAGTAAATATAGTATGGAAGGCTCAAAAAAACCCCAAATGGTTTGGACATGATCCTGATTGGAGAAACTCCATGAAAATAGATTCCAACTGCTTATAAATGAGCAAGGGGGAGGAGGGTGGCTGCCGGTTTTAAAGACAGCATCTCAGAGAAGCACTGACACGGATAGGCCAGCTTGCACCTTCAAGATGGCAATGATCTGCTGATATATCAAATGTAAAACCACTATTTATCTAGCCCATGAAAATGTCCTGAATAGTAAGGACCAGGCCAGGAAACAAACTCTTTAATTAATTACCTAATACTTGCTTTCCAGAGCTAAAGCTGACTTGGCTCCTCTCCACCCAGTCTATGCAGCTCTCCATGCAACATAGACTTCATGGAGCCAGGCGTGATCTGTTCATTGCAGAGGCCTGATTCTCCCTAAGCACTGATATCAATATCATACATTTCAAATACAAGGGAGGCCTGGGCAGGCTTAATCCCCCAGGCACAAGGAAACTGAGTGTGCTCTCTAGGGAGGCTGTTGGCATAGAGCAAAAGACTGTGTTACTGTATACGCTTTCAGATGGTTAGCAAAGTGGGTCCCCATCAAAGGCTCGGGAAACAGGCCTGGTGAGGAAGGAGGGGTGAGGTCACTCTAGGATTCTGTCTGACCCTTAAAGACAATCCAATCTTGGCTGTCATCTGACAGTGTTCTATTTAGTTTGATAGATACAATTACATCTATCTAGCCAGATAATTACAGTACTGCACATCTTCCATGTATCAGTGGCTTAGCAGAATTAAAAGCTATAAAATCCTTTTGTGTGTGCTAGGGGGCTTTCCTTTTCTTCCCTAACACAGATTTCCTCTCTCCCTCTCCCTCTGCTCAAGAAAAAGAAAAGGGAAAGAAGTCCCTATAAATGGTAGATTCTGATTCTGAATTATTTTGTAGACGTTTTGTATGAATCTATCAAATCTGTGCTGGATCAACTTGCATCTCAGCCAACTTCTTTACTAAAGAAAATTGATTCTTGTTTACTTCTTTTTGTAAAGAGAATCATGATGAATTTTAATAGGATAACCCCCCACTGTTAGAAAATCTCCCTCCTTTGGCTATGGGAGCTTTGAAATTTGTAAATCAGAAATAAACCTGTATTTTTAAAAAATATTGTTTTAGACAAAAATAAAAGATGTCTATAAGTTTCAAGCTCACCCTTAATAATTGCTCAACAGTCATATTTTTTCCTGTTTTCATCACCCCAATGAACAGTACATTTTTCCCATACTTTGTTAAAAGACCTTATAATTGCAAACTTGACTTTCAGTTTTTAACAGAATAACCTACCACCAAGTAATACTTCATTTCTGGATGAAAATTCATACTGTCCCTTACTATTTTAAGGGCTTCCCTGCTAGCTCAGCTGATAAAGAATCTGCCTGCAATGCGGGAGACCTGGGTTCAATCCCTGGGTTGAGAGGATCCCCTGGAGAAGGGAACGGCCATCCACGCCAGTATTCTGGCCCGGTGAACTCCATGGACTATTCCATGGGTTCGCAAAGAGTTGGACATGACTAAGTGACTTTCACTTACTATTTTAACATGCATCAACATTTAGCTAGAGATGATGTAGACTGCTTAGTAAAATGAATAATCCTGAGAGAGAAAAAAAGAAAGAGTAGTTCTCGAAATGTTGATGCTACTCATTGAAATCTGAGAGAAAGAGTATGTAATTTTGGATACAGGCAACCATATTTCTAAGGATTACCATAGTTTAGATAGCATAGATATTATTCAAGATATTATAATATCTCATATTTAACAACAGAAAATGTATTGTTATTTTCTGAATCAAGACATACTACCTATCCTTGGGAATATAATTTCTTTTTTTATTTTCTAGAGTTAAATTTATAACACAAAAGAAGGTTACAAATTTTTTCCAACACCTAGAGTATCAAGTCAGTAATTTTACTAATCCATTAAATGTATGTTTTTTACACTTAAGGGACAAAAGAAACCTGTGGATTCTGTATATTTACCCAGGGATCACTTTCCTGGTGGTGAAATGTAACCAGCTTCTTTGTGGAATGGAGCAATCACTGATCACTGACTGCCAGTAACACTATGCTGCGAAGTGTAGAGGGGAAAATGAAGGCTAGCTCATCCGAAGGAAACTACAAGGGAATTTAGGTCAACAGAATGCAATTATCCAAGTTGGAATCATCCCAGGACACCAAAAGCAAACTCTAAAGGTGGGTGAATTGAAAAGCATTGCTCCTCAATTGCAGGACAAGCAACCACGTTCCTGACAAGACTGGTGCTTCTTCTTATTTGTTTGTCTTTGTTTTGCAAATACTGCTGACCAAGGATTGATCACTGGCACAGGAAATGGAGTGTGTAGACATTTGATCAAAATTTTGCCATCAGATCTACTAACAGACATCCTACATTCTTCAGCAATCTAACAAGTGAAAGAAGATACTGTTAGAATCTGTTTCAAGATACCATGCTGTTGTTGACCAGATTTTTCAGGAAGACTCTGATTCCCAGCCCCTCTTGCGTCTAAGGGGGAACACATGACTGGGTTATGGCCAATGGGATGTAGGCAGAATTTTATACTGTTCTTCTAGCCAGGCCATAAAGCATCCTACTTGATCTCTCTCTCTCTCTCTCTCTCTCTCTCTCTCACACACACACACACACACACACACACACACACACACACACACACACACACTCTTACCCATCTTGAAGTGAAATACTAGGTGATGGTAGATTATAGGAGTTCAAATCCCTGAGTCCCTAGTTCCCTGCTTGGAGACTAGTTGCCCAGAAGAGTCACTCAAACTGGGTCAGACTATACCATGAACTAGAGAAAAACTTTCATTGCACTGAGATATGGGAGTTTTTGTTACAGCACCTAGGGATAACTTGACTAATCTAATATCCATGATACAAATGGAATTTCTTTGAATTTTAGAATTGAGAAAGTTCAAAAGTTACTCCATAAAGCAAGGAAATGATAAGATGTACATTTTTGTACATTTTTCATTCATTGTTTGTGAGACTGTAGAATTTATACTAGTGTTCTGAGGGGAAAATAAGCAAAATATATTAAACTGTAAGAACTTAACACAATTATGATTTGACCTAACCATTCTACTGCTAGAATCTATTCTTGAAGAAAAATCAAAAGTAGTGGCCAATTTTTGTTCCTGAGCATTGGTTGTGATAAAAAAAAAAAATTATATAATACTAATTTCAACAGCAAAGGAAATTTTAATAAACTTTGGTTACATCTTTATAAGGAAAAATTAAATAGTCAATAATTGTATATCCAGTGAATACTTTAGTCAATAATTTATTCAATAATCTAATATTTATTGAGCACCTATTATGTGCTAACATTTATTCCAGATGCTGAGGATATAGCAATGTACAACATAGAAAAAAAGTTTCCTGTTCTTGCAATATGTCTCTTTTTGATGGGTGAGACCACATATAATAAATCAATTAATCAAAAATAAAATAATTGACATTAGCAACAAACTGGAAAAATATTCCACTGAGAGTTTTTAAGTAAAAATATCTAACATGCAGGAACTATACATACAACACACAC